CCAACCCCCTGCCATGGGTAGGGACACCTTCCACTAGACCAGGTTGCTCCAAGGTGGAAAGTAATAAGGAAACATCTGGGTTTTTAATGAGTTAGGGAACAAATGGTTTGATTACATTTGTCCAGCTGGAAAAGTCAACAGTATTGTAAGTTTTTAATGAAAGTCAGGAGAATGGAGATGTTCTAACTCTGATTACAATGAAAATAACGCGTGTATGTTTTCTGTCCTTTTATTTTAAGTTATATCCTCATATACAAATAAGTTTAGCCCAAGAATCTGGAAACTGTGTAGCTAAATCCTATTTCCTCTCACAGTGAGATATCTAGTTAGGGAAATTACCACATTAAAACAAACAAAAGAACCAACAAACAAAAAACCCAACACATAGTTTTGCAAACACATGATTCATTTAGATAAATAACTGCCAGCATTGTAGAGCAGATTAACACTGAACAGAAAACTTCCCCTCTCCCTGGAACTTCAGAATCAGTGATAGTGAAAGAAGTAGCTTCTGGTGTCTGGGAATCTGGTGTCCCTTCACGTGGGCCATCCTCTAGTGACAGAGAGGAGGTGGTTCACCCTCTGTCTCTGGTAAGGCTGCCAAACTATGTTAGTGATTTCCCTCAAATCACCTGATAATTAGAATGAATTTGAGAATGGGACCTGAGGATTTTTTCCACATTCTTTAACATGTGATTGAGAAACAAACACTTGAGTGACTATCTTAGAGGTATTTAATTCCCTATAATACAAGAAAAGCTTTACATTGTGGTATTTATCACCTGAGCTTATACTTTACTTCCCTTCAGGTATGGCCCACTAGAAATGGCATATTGCTTGGGTTTACCTTAGTCTTATTTTTCTTGTTTGCAAGTACCTAACCCCTCATTCCTAAAGGATTATCATTTACTAAGTTTGTTGTCTTAAATCTTTAATTTAATTGTGAATTGGTGATCTTTTTAATTGTTTTAATTGACTGAAAAAGTTCACCTACAGTAGAAATATAGGTAGTGGGTGGCTGAGCTCTCACACTGCCTCTGTAGAACTTGCTTTGGAGCTTCCTTCATGTTTGAAAAGTGGATTTGGAAAGAAAAAAGAAACATTTTTCTAGCTAATAATGTTAACGTATGAGCTCTCCTCTCTGTAGAAAGGGAATGGAACAAAACAGCATAAATGAGTGGTTCTGATGAAGTACCGCTGGAAGCAAGCAAACTGAGATACAACTACCCCCAACTACTGTGCAACTTCTTGAATTCCCACCAGTGATGACTTGAATATTTTAAAGTAAAAAAATGAGTGTTATCTTGTTAAAGATTACATCAAAAGAAAGACTTCATGTCTGCTTGAAGGGAAAAGGGGGCTTCATTCCCGATAGTTAGCTAAGCAGTTAATTTTTTCTACAGGAAATCTAGATTTACTGGAACAGCCCAGGGAAATTCAAGGGTGTGAACAATCCGCATAATATTTTATGAAAATGACCCCCATATTTAAAATCTGGCATTATATGTTATGCATTGTAGCACCAAGTCCACATCTACCTTTTAGAAAATTAAAACACATAAATTCTGTTTAGTGTTTGATATGTGCTGCACTAGCTGAAAGCCATAATGCCCCTAAAACCTTGGGTTGCTTTTCACCTTTCATAAATTCCTGGGTAGATTCTATACAAAAAATAATTTTCAGCTCCGTGGCTCATTGTTATTCCAACTTGATGGATTGTCGTCATTTACTCAGTGAGGAAGTTAAGTGCTCCTGTCATTTCCGAAGAGTATAATTGGGACGTTTCACAGGTCAGTGGTAGTGACAGGTTTCCCTTTTGATTAGTGTTAGACTGATAACAAAAATTACAGTTTCCTATGATTAATGTTTTCTATAGTACTTGAATGCACAGTTCATGGATTGTACCTAAACAAAGTGAATTTGCATCTGATTATGCTTTTTCTCCCTCAGGCTTTTCACGTGCTTTCAAGTTTTAGACCATGCAGGTAATACAGCAGAGTTGCTTCTAAGGCAGTTTTCAAGTTGAGGATTAGTGAAGCCTGCTGAATTTTAGTGTATTAATGCAGAGAGCTACGTGCCCCAAGTGACATGTGAACAGATCAGGAGCAATTGCAATTAAAGGTAGAACCCTTCTGAACTCTTTCTAGTGCTCTCACCTATGTCATGCACATGACTACTTGTACCCACTGATATTTTAGGTATCTGTTGATTTAAGTTAAATGATCAGTTTGAGCTGATTTTTCTTATTCTTAGTGGTTTATTTTTCAGATCCTTAAGCCTGTTGCTGTTCATTCGTTTACAGACTTCTTCTCAGTAATGACAATAGAAATCCACCAAAATTACTTTCCCTGTTTTATAATGTAAAAGTCAGCTTTTACATTATGGCACAAAGTGGTAAGACTTCATCATGGACTGTAGCGACAGGACAAGTGGTACTGGGTTTGAACTAAAACAGGGGAAGTTCAGGTTAGATACAGGGAAGTTCTTTCCTGTGAGGGTGGTGAGGCACTGGCACAGGTTGCCCGAAGAAGTGGTGAATGCTCCCTCCCTGGCAGTGTTCAAAGCCAGGTTGGACAGAGCCTTTGGGTGACATGTATTAGTGTGAGGTGTCCCTGCCCAATTAGTGTGAGGTGTCCCTGCCCATGGCAAGAGCGTTGGCACTGCATTATTTTAAGGTCCTTTCCAACCCAAACCATTCTGTGATTCTAAGATCATCCATGACAAGTTTTAGCTTGGTGAAATCATTTTAAATTGTTAAATGTGAAGTGGAAGCTGAGAATGGATAATATGACATTGCCCTGCTTGGAGCTGGGGAAGTAGTAGTGGATATTATTTCTGAATTTAATTAAATTTCCCCAACAGATAAAAAGGGGATGACAACATCAGAAGAATTGTGAAACCGAAATACAAATACATTAACTTCAATCTCTAGCCCTCTTCTGTTGTGCAGACTACAAAACCTGATTGTTTTTTCTTTCTAAAGGCAATTGAGAAGATCTCCCAGAAGTTGCAATTTAACACAGATGTTCTTTCAGTCTAGTGGCTTTGCAAGTTTGTGGTTGGTGGCAGAATTCTTTCTTTCCATTACAGCTCTATTTTGGTTTGTGCTGCAGCAGGTGTCTGCCTCAGCCATGCCAGGTAGGGCTTGTATTGCAGCTTTCTTTCAGATGAGGAAAAATGATGGCAGTTGGAAACAAAAAGTAAACTAGGGTGCAGGATGCTCCAGCCTAGTCTGAAGGTTGGCAGCTCTCAGAGTAGTGACAGTTGGGCTGGAAAGACTACATTGTGTTGTTACCTGGCTTTGGCAGCTGGGTACCTTCAAACATGACTATGCTGAGACTTTATTGTAAAATGAAGACTATGAGGTGTTCTCTGGTAAGAACGCAGTAGTAAATCTACTCTGTCCTTCAGGACAGTAAATCTTTTCTTTTCACTGGAACTGCAGCTTCTTAAAGTCATATTTTTAAACAAAGCGAAGAATTGTACTTCTGACTTGCACCTTCCATTCATTATATGTTAAAGTGTATCAGTATCTATTAATATCAGTTAATGTTCTTTGTTAGAAATTAATACAGTCCAGCTTCCAAGTAATACTGACCAAAAAGAAATGCTGATTATTTTTTTCATTATTATTTGTTTTAAATTTTTAACTGCATTCAGTAGCCCAACATTGGTTTCTAGGTTCTTTGGCTTCAGACTATATGTATGATTTAAAGGAACTCAGCTGTGACACGAGATTAGAGGGTTGCATTAAATTGGGAAAATTCTGCTGCAGGCAAAACCTGCAGCATCCTCCAATGCTTGTAACAATGATTAGCTGGTATGAATATCAGCCTAAGTCAGGTGCAGGAAGAGAAGTAGAGAACACTGCTGAAAATAGTAAAAATGATGCCATTCTTTATCTATTACTTTGGCTTGCTGCAGCCCAGTTGAAAAAAGTGATAGCCTGTGGTAGGGTTGGGTTAGTGGATACCCCTTATTATTTCCTAGGCTTGTAACAGTGGACAGTAGACATACAATAATGTGCTAATTCTCTTGTAGTTAAGAGTTAGGTGACTCTCAAGGTGGTCAAAGAAAATAAAGCATAAGACCTGCATCATTGCTGCCTTTTTAGGGTAGTTGGCATTTGCTACTTTAAAGTTCTGATAGTACAGGACACATGTGTGGCACAGATTCTTTTAGCTTATGTGTAGTTTAGAAGAAAAATTCATTTTTAGGTATAGAACAAGATTAGATACAAGTGTAGAGGCTTGCTGGCACAAACGTAGTAGTAGCTAGCTGAAATGATACATAGGAAGCCACTTACCTGAATGAATTACCCTGGTTAGTTGTTTTCCAGCTAGTAATAGTTCCTCAGTTTCGGAAGGCAGCACAGACTAAGTGCCCATTGACCATAGTAATGGGTGCAGTCTAATGGTATGAATGGTTAGGATAGACTGAATTAGTAGAGAAATTAATGTATCAAATTATTTTTAGTGCTGTTGAGAAGAAGCACAGTGAAATCCTGTAGTATACAGATCTGAATCTTCTTTCTTTGGTCAGTATTAGCTTACCAGTCCATCCACTTCCCTTTCTGTGTGCCTGCTCTGGTTTTGAGCTCTGAAATAATCTGTGGTACTATTTAACATGCCACAGACTATTTGAGTGCATATAAATGAGTAAAATCAGTGGAAGGAGCAGAGGTAAGGCTAAAATTTTCTCATTAGGTCAAAATCTTGAGGATATTTTAAGGTTTATGGTCTTGTTTTATAGCTTTACACTTCTTGGGCTTCACCAACTGCATGTGTTCTAATGGATAAAAGGGGCTTTAAAGAAGCCCTTAGGATAGAGTATGGCTTTAGAGATAAAATGTTAAGCAAAGGCCTAATCTTGGATAAAGATTAAATACATAATTAGGGAAATACTTTTTACATCTCAGTAGGGCAATCAGGATGTCTGTGAAATATTTTCACTGTGAAAGTAAACAAAAAACAGTCTTCACATGTTCAACGTGTCTCTAGATGAAAGCCTTGGACGATGATGACGATGAGGATGAAGATGAATTTGTGGAGGTCCCTGAGAAGGAAGGTTATGAGCCCCACATTCCAGACCACCTGCGTAAGGAATATGGTGAGTTTGCCCAGCTGCGACGAGCTTTATCCCTGCATGTTACTGCTGCACTAAGATAAATAAACAGCCATTCTGAAGTAATAAAGTGATCAGCGGTGTGGGTAATCTCTGCCTGCTATGAGGAAGTCATTACATAGATGCAGGAGCAGCGATTGGCTCCAGATAAACAAATACTTTCTAGGAGCAAGAACAACTGAGACGAGAAGCTTATTTCATTCCATCATGTTCCACTGTAGTTTAGAGCCAGAAGCAGCACAGCGTGTGCTTAGAAGTGTGCTAAACACATAGTGGGAGTGAAGGGATTGCAAATAAAGCTGTAAATGAGCCTGAATATTGGAAATACTGGTAACAGTCTGGTGAGATGGGATAAGGTTTTGTACTGTCACCTGCATTAATAGCACTTGAGATGTGCAGCCACTTCCTCTCATAGAGTGGCCAACATACAGCTCAGAAAGAAAAGGGAAGGGGTATTTAGGTAACAAGATGTTAAATGGAGCTCTGCCTTCAAGTGCAGAGTTATAGCCACTGATCATGTACCAGATGACAAAATATAATCTTGCCTTCTTTTAATGCATTCTAAAGATGCTATTTTTAAATAAAGTTATAATGTGGTTTTGAGAAATCAAGAGGGGAAATTACTGAGGAAAATTCATCTTGAATAATGCAGTTTCAGTGCATTACTCCTTCTCCTTTGTCCATCTAACCTGTTAAGTGTCTGCAGCTTTGCCTTTATATAGCATTGTGTATATTAAGATACAGAAGATTTTGGTACCTTGTAGAGAAGGAGAGGGCAGCTGCCACTGCATACAAAACCTTGGACACTGTATAAGTTTCTTGCTCCTGCATTTCTCCATGAGTATTTGTGTAAGGCTGGTGCTGTGTTGTGCCTTTTTCCAATCCTGTTAGCGCTCATTTTTAACATATCCAGAGTTTCCATCAAAAGTCAGGCTGTAGGCATTACCTGTATAAGCCAAATGTTTAATTTTGCTGAAACAAGGGGCTGTGCCTGTGTAAACCCAACATGATGTAGCTCAAGTGATTCTTTTACTGTCTTCTGCCATCAAATTTGGCTACAGACAATGAAGGATGATCAGTAACAATAACCTGTAGTGGCTGGGGTCAGTTCAAGGATGTCTTCGGGTGTGAAGTCCTACTACTGCTGCAGTCCATCTACCCCATCTAGACTTAACCTACCAGGACACCCTGGGAAGTAAGCCCTGTATTGGTTATCTCTATATCTCTGTTCCCCACCTAAGAACATGCAACAAGGCCAACTGACTGAAACCAGTTTGTTTGGAGGTAGATGTCTCCATTCCTCCATGCGTCCATGTGGAAATTATCAGTCATATAGAGGACTGAGATTAGGCTAGTGCCTTAGGGATCAGGTAGCTGCAATGTGGTTTGGCATTTCTCTTACCATATGTGTTGCTTGAAACTGTCTTTAGGCTTTTGGGTTCTAATTGTTGCTAACAGCAGGACTTTCAGAAAAGGAATATAATGAAAGAAAGGGGTAGCAGCCTTCCAGACAGTTGGGAACAGCTTCTTATGTGTGCATGGCTAATGAGAGTCCAAAACATTGATAGTGATAGTAAATGAATGAGCAAATGAGGTAAGTTATGATCATAGCTATGGGTCATCTTTGGTTTTTTTTTTCCCCTTCCTTTGGCAGTATTCCTTGTGCTAAAACTGGTATTGTCTCAATACTTCCAGGTACTGGAACTTGTTTTCCATATCTTTAGCAGCATCCTGATGAATACTGACATGCAAAAGTTCTGTTCCTACTTGTCACCTTCCCCTGGAAGTGAAATGTACTCATCCCTTTCCTCTCTGGTCTTCCTCATGGACACACTTAAAAAATAAAACATCTTATCACCCTTTGTACCACACTAACAAAGTACTTTACTGCTATTTGAATTCTTCTCACGAAAAGGATAAAAGAACAAGCATATAATCTCCTCAAGGATGTTTTTAAAATCTATATAAAATGGATTAAGAAATTCCCAATTTGTATTTAAACTATTGCTGATAGGAAAATTCATTATAATGGAGAAGCCAATCAATCAGCAAACAAAACCTCTCATTTTGTACACATGTAGTTACGAAGGAACTAATGGTCACACTTGGCTGTTCTTTATCTGATGTGTTTGTTAAAAATAGCATTTAGAAAGAAATGAACCAGTCTTGATGTTCCTGGAATCATTCATCTTTTGCTTGCTGTTATTTAAAGTTATTATGTGAGCTTCGAGCTCAGGAAAGAGTCTGAAAATAATTCAGCATTCCTGAAAAGAATTCAGGCAGCCTTTTAAGCATGTACTTTTTTTCTGTCTGTGTGGACTTGAGTGCTTTCTTGCACCAGCTGGTCAGTTACTAGTTCAAAATCTATTTCAGAAGCCAATATGTAACTATTGCATAAGTCATCTGGCTTCTCGTGTAATTACCTTAGGCCTGCATGAGGAAAATGGAGATTTGAATTTGCCCTGCTAGATTCTGTTCTGCATGGTTTTAATAAGTAAAACCAAAATAAGCATCCTTTGGCACATTTTGTTTAGAAAAGTGAATTATCATATTAAAACAAGGATACATTCATTTCATAGTAGCATGTTATCAAGAGCTGGATGTGTTAAGCAACCACCTCTAAATATGGTTCTTTATTCCATATACAAGCATGGTTATCATAGCAGTGACTTTAGTTTTATATAATTCGGATGGGGTTTTTGATACATTTCTTTAGTTCACATCTAGTTAATGAGGACTCTGAGCTAAAAAAAATGGAAGCCTGTGCAAGCGGAATGTTCCAACTGGAACATTAAACCTTCCATATAAGAGATTTTATCTTATGTGGAAGGTGTAAACAGTTTAAAGGGGTGTTTTTTCCCTTGAGTTGCTACTCTTAGAATCATAGAATAGTTAGGGTTGGAATGAAATTTAAGATCATCTAATTCCAACCCCCCTGCCATGGGCAGAGATGCCTCACACTAAAACATGCCATCCAAGGGTCTGTCCAACCTGGCCTGGAACACCACCAGGGATGGAGCATTCACAACTTCCATGGGCAACCCATTCCATTGCCTCACCACCCTTACAGTAAAGAATTTCTTCCTTATATCCAATCTAAACTTCCCCTCCTTAAGTTTTAACCCATTACCCCTTGTTCTGTCACTACAGTCCCGAATGAAGAGTCCCTCCCCAGCATCCTTATAGGCCCCCTTCAGGTACTTCCTGAACAAACCAGGAGAAGTGAACAGCTCCTCACATTAACTTTTTGTACTAAACAGGAAAGCAAAGTTGTAAAACAGGTCATAGAATCATAGAATAGTTAGGGTTGGAAATGACCTTAAGATCATCTACTTCCAACCCCACTGCCATGGGCAGGGATGCCTCACGCTAGACCATGTTACCCAAGGCTGTGTCCAATCTTGAACACTGCCAGGGATGGAGCATTTACCACTTCTCTGGTCAACCTGTTCCATGTCACCACGCTCACTGTAAAGATCTTCTTCCTTGTATCTAACCTGAACTTCCCCTGTTTAAGTTTGAGCCCATCACCCTTTGTTCTATCTTTGCAGTCCCTGATGAGGAGTCCCTCTCCATCATCTTTGTAGGTCCCCTTCAGATATTGGATGGCCTCTGGAAATGGATTGAAATGTGACATTTAAATTTCTATTTTTTATTTCTTTTTTTAAGTCACTTTTTTCACTTCCTTTCTCTTAGGAAAATCAAAGTATCCTACTGACAAAGCAAAGTTCCATCTGAAATGCTATTTCTGATGGCACATACATGTATTTGTGGTCCTCCTGAGATCTGAAAAGGTTGTGAAAAAAAACCCCCAACAAATTAGATATTTAAGATGGGGCAGCTTTGTATGCATAAGTATATAGACATGTGCAGCTGGTATTATCTATATATAGTTGATGATTTCAAAATCGATGATGATGTTTAATATATAAATGAAGTGAACATCGGTACAGTTTGGGTGGAGAGAGAATTGAACAAATCAATTTGAATCTCCATGTATAAGATGAAATGTAAATTTGTTAAAAGAATTTAGGTGATTAGATAAGTGAAGTGTGAAGATATAATCCATTAGGGGTGTCATGCCAAATTAGCATTACCAGACTTTTAACGACCTCCCATTTGTATAATCCTTATTTACACTTGCACCTGATGTCTGTTGCAGACAAGAGACCAGCCATGCTGTGGTACCATGGGGCCATTTTAAATATGTTGTGTTGCTAAAGGGAAATATTGGGCTGAAAAAGAAACAGTGCTGTGAAAATAACTTTCACAAGGTTACTCTGGTTCTCAGCAGGGATGTTGTTTTATTTACAGAAGAGGAATGTACCCTTGTGTAGCTGGTATTGCGAACCTGTTAAAAACTGAGGCATTGTGCATTTAAAAGAAAGCTTTAGGGAGGGATAAAATCTTGTTTCCACTAGATTTTCCCCATTCTGGGCTTTGCTGGTCAGCTGTTGGATGCATTGGCTTACAGTCAAAGGTGGATAAGGTAAGAGATGGAACTGTGCAGCTTCTGTTGTCATTCTTATGCCACAGACAGAATTTGGAGCTGGTGCCGGGGTTGGTCTTGATGTAGTTGGCAAGTGAGCTCTGAACCTCATGGGAGGTGATCCATTTTTTGAGGTGTGATTTTTCCATCTTAAACCACAACAATTCCCAGATCTAGTTCAGAGCACCCATCTCTAGCAGCTGTTGTCTACTAATGGGCTTTCTCAGTTCATAGTTCTTGTCTGTGTTTGATTGCATACATTTATGACCTTTCTTACGCAATACTATGTTGAGGTACAGGGAAGTGCTGTTGCCATTTTACAAGTGGTGACATGAGGAAGCCATCTGACTTGGGAATATTAGCATGGAAACAGTCTACTGGTTATCAGGTTTCATCCTTATGCAAAATTATATGGGAAGTGACTGTACAGTCAAGAACACAAACTGTTATTTCAAATCTGGTTAAGCAGATTATTTCTCTTGCATCTGAGCCTTAA